CTTTTCTTTTCTCATTCCTCTCTTTCGCGAACGATTCTTTGTGGAGAAATGGTAGGTGGTATTTTATGTCGTCTTTGGGTTTCGTTTTTTTTATCTTTTTTTTCTCTTTCGTTTTCTTTTCTTTTCTTTCGTCTCTCTTTTCGTTTCTCTCTGTCCCTTTCCTTATTGGGATTTGTTTTCATTTTTACCTCCGATTTTTTTCTTTCTGTCTGTCTTTATTTTCCTCCTTTTTTTATTTATTTATTTTTCTCTTGTCCCATTCAATGTAAGGGAGACCTGATTACCGACCGACCCTTCCCCCCCTCCCCCCTCCCCCCCTCCCCGCTAGCCTTTCTCAAGCCGCTTCCCAAACTCCTCTTCACCTTTCCTTCCTCCTCCTTCGCCTCCTCCTTTCTTACTGATACTGCTAGTGCTATTACTACTGCTACTACTACTACTACTATTAATATTACCACTATTACTGCTACTGTTGCTACTACTACTGCTGCTGCTACTACTACTGCTGCTGCTGCTGCTGCTGCTACTACTACTACTACTACTACTACTACTACTACTACTACTACTACTACTACTACTACTACTACTACTGATAATAATAATAATAATAATAATAATAATAATAACAATAACAATAATAATATTGCTACTGTTGCTGCTGACGATGATGATGATGCTATTACTATTACTATTACTACTGCTACTACTATACTACTACTACGACTAATACCCCCACGACTGCTACTGCTACTGCTGCCTCTCCTGTGCCTAAACCATCTGAGACTCTTGCTCCTACTCCTCCTCTTCTTCTTCCTCTTCCTTCTCCTTTTCTTCATCCTCTTCAATCCCCTTCTCCTTCAACTTCTCCTCCTCCTCCTTCCCCTTCTCCTCCTCCTCTTCTCTCTCTGCCTCTTCCTGCTCCTCCTTTTCTTTCTCCTCCTCCTCCTCCTCCTCTACTTCACTCTCTCGCTCTCTCGTTTGGGTTATTTTTTCGCTCCTTGTCTCTCTCACCCCAATTATCATAATTGTCCCATCTCTCCTCGAACCACCTTGAGTTGCCATATTCTTGTCTGTGTCTTTCTTTGGTCTTCTGTCGCCTTTCTCTCTTTCTCTCGCTCTCTCTCTCTCTTTCTCTCTCTTCCTCTCTCTTTCTCTCGCTCTCTCTCTCTTTTTCTCTCTCTTCCTCTCTCTCTCTCTCTCTCTCTCTCTCTCTCTCTCTCTCTCTCTCTCTCTCTCTCTCTCTCTCTCTCTCTCTCTCTCTCTCTCTCTCTCTCTCGCTCTCTCTCTTTATCTCTCTCTTTATCTCTCTCTTTATCTCTCTCTCTCTCTCTCTCTCTCTCTCTCTCTCTCTCTCTCTCTCTCTCTCTCTCTCTCTCTCTCTCTCTCTCTCTCTCCTGGATTGTCTGACTGTTTTTTCTACTTTCTGGATTAATTAATTTTTGCGAATAGTCGAATACCCAAAAGTTATATCATGTTCTAGCTTTTATTACGGTTGCAACATTCTTGCAATCCTCCCATCCTCGATTCTAATGTTTTACTTCTCTACTTCGCATTCTGTTGCAGAGTTGCATTTAATCCACGATTCCTCTGCCATCGACATTGCCATATGAATCCAGCTGTCAATCAAGTTGCCATTATCCATCCTCGCTCGCCTGGTCTTCTGTTTTTGTTTTTTTTAATCCGTGTGATTAGGTCTCCTATTATCCCATTTCCTCGCCTCGCTTTCGTCCCTTATACGTCCCTGATCCTTACTCCCTAATCCCTAAATCCGTGAGTCTCTGTGTCACATCTCCCTTATCGTCCCCCTCGCCCCCCCCCCTCCCTCCGTTTCTGTCGACTCCTGTTGCTTGTCTTATAGTCACCTTTCCCCTTCCCTCTTCCTTCTTTTTCCTCTTCTTCTTCTTCTTCATCATCTTCTTTTTCCTCCTCCTCCTTTCTCCTCCTCCTAGTCTTCCTCTTCCTCTTCTTCCTCTTCTTTCTCTTCCTCCTCCTCCTCCTCCTCTCCCTCCTCCTCTTTCTCCTCCCCCTCCTCTTCCTCCTCTTCCTCCTCCTCCTCCTTCTCCTCCTCCTCTTCGACCTCTCTCTCCTTCAACACGTTTCGCCGATATATACTTATCGGATTTTTTACGATTTCCGTCTTTCCCCTTTCCGACTCTCCGCCTCCTTGCGCCGTTCCCGAAGCCCCCCTCCCCCCCTCCCCCCGCTAGGTTCTTCAGCCCCCCCCCCCCCCCCGCGCCTTCCACAAGCTCCTACCCTCTCCCTCCTCCTCCTCCCTTTCCTACCCTCGACCTCCCCTCCCCCTCCCCCTACCCCTCCTGCCCTTGCCCTTACCCTCCTTTCCTCCTTGCCCTTTTCCCCTCCTTTTCCTCCTTGCCCTTTTCCCCTCCTTTCCTCCTTGCCCTTTTCCCTCCTTCTTCCTCACCACTACCGCCTCCCTCCCTTCACCCTCCCCTTACTCCTCCTCTCCCTGCCCCTACTCCTCCTCCTTCCTCCCCCCTCCCTCTCCCCTCTACCCTCCCCCTAACCTACCCCTTCTCCTCCCTTGCCCTTACCCCAACCCTCCCCCCTCCCGCTCCTCCTCCGAACCGACCCCCCCCTCCCCCCTCCCGCTCCTCCTCCGAACCGACCCCCCCCCCCTCCCCCCATGTGGCCGCGCCAAGGTCGGTCATGCCCGCCAGCCACCCACCTGCGTCTCATTCACAGCGCCCCACGCAACCCGCTCCTGCTGCCCTCCCCCCCCCCTCCTCCTCCTCCTCCTCCTTCCTTATACCTCCTACCCCCTCTCTACCTCCATCCTTTACCTCTCCCTCCCTACACCTCCCCTCCTCCTCCTCCTCCCCATACCTCCTCCTCCTCCTCATACCCCTCCTCCTCCCCCTTTTCCTCCTCCTCCTCCTGCTCCTCCTCCCTCCACCTCCTTAACCAATCATAACTCAGCGCCAGTCTGACCCTTGAATCTGATTGGCTGTGCTCGTCCGTGTTATGGCTAATCGGCCTAATACGAGTGTCTGACATGACAAGGTTTTCGGACGTCGTGTTCGCTCCCTATCAATGGACTTGACAGCCAATCAGAACGGGAGAAGATAATTCCGAGGGTTTCTGATTGGCTAAGCGGAGGGGGGAGAACGAGGAACGAGACACCCAGACTTTGTTTACAATCGCCAGAAAGACGTCGTATGAAAATGATAAATTCTCGTTTTTTTATTTTAATTTATTTTATTTATTTTTTTTTTTTTGGGGGGGGGGAAGAAGCACAAACACTGATAAACATTTTTTTCTTCTTCGACGTAAGAGAGGAGGGAAAACATACAACCAGTTTGCTTATAAATCCTAAATATTGTATTCAAGACCCTACATCCCCAAGTGTCGTATTTTGAATAAATATTAGATGAAGAGACTCAAGCCACTCATTAAAGTTGTAGCAGACATATTGTAACCACTCAAGAGGGGGGGAGAGAGGGAGGGGGCAGGAGGAGGAGGAGGAGGAGGAGGAGGAGGAGGAGGAGGAGGAGGAGGAGGAGGAGAAGGAGAAGGAGAAGGAGAAGGAGAAGGAGAAGGAGAAGGAGGAGGAGGAGGAGGAGGAGGAGGAGGAGGAGGAGGAGGAGGAGGGGGGAAGGGGAGGGGAACTGAAGAAGGGTGATAAGTGGAAAGGGAGGGGAGAGGAGGAAAGGGAGTGGGAAGATGAAGGGATTGGGGAGAGAGGGTGTAAGAAGAGAATAAGAGAGAAGGAGGGGAAGAGGAAAGGGAGGGGGAGAGGAGGTGGGAGAAAGGTCGAGAGTTTAAAGGAGATGAGGGGAAAGGGAAGAGGAGAGGAGGAAGGGGAGAAGAGAAGGGGGAGAGGAAGAAAGGGAGAATGAAGGAAAGGGGAGGAGAAGAGGAGGAATAGGAAAGGATGGGGAGAGGAGGTAGGTTGTTAAAGGGAGAGGGAAGGGGATACGAAGAAAAGGGGGGGGGGCGGTGGGAATATGTTAAGCAGCCACACTGAGGGATATTAGCACAGGTAGTGGGTAAGTGTGACATATACCATTACTACATCCACATGTCATGGATGCAAATATCTTCACATACATTATACATATAGTTATTTAAGTTTCTGTTGATTTCATTACATTCAGACGTATAAACAAATCTCCAATATTTCCCAATGAAAACTAAGTAATACATATTTACACAAACGCGTAAATATACATCTATTTACTTCCCTATACTGTTGAAATAACAAAAGTAATAAAAGCTACACCAACAGGAAAGTGATAATATATAAGAAATAACATAATGACGCAAATAACAACGATTGCAACAACAAAAATTCAAGAATAAAAGTAACAGAAAAAGAAAAAAAAAGGAGCAAGAAAAACAAAAATAATAACAGAAATAACAACAAAAAGGGGAAGACGACATAACAAAAACAATTACAATGTAACAACAAAAAAATTACACATCTAACATAAAACAACGAATCAACAATGACATAAACAACTACTCCCGCTAAAGAATCTTGTTCAACAAGAAAAACAACAACAAAAACAAGAACAGCAACAACAACAGCGGCAGCAACAAGAAACAACAACATTCCCATATGCAATATATTTATAAACACAATCTCCATCAAACAAGAACAACACCCCCCCTCCCCCCACTCTCCACCCTTCCCTAAAACAAAACAAAAAAATAAAGACCTAAACAAACAAACAAATAAAGCCAAAAAAAAACTACAAAAATCCTCCACATTCTCCCCAAACCAAACAAACCAAACCAATAAGAAATAAAACAAACAAGAACAACAAAAAACAATCAACAAACAGACAAACAAACATCAGACCAACCTCCCTTCGAGGATCACTTACCGAGGCAAAACAAACAACAAAAATCCTCCAGATTCTCCCCAGAACCAAACAAACCAAACCAACAAATCAATAAAACAAACAAGAACAACAAAAACCAACCAACAAACAGACAAACAAATATCCACCAGACCCAACCTCCCCTCAAGGATCACTTAC